GGGTTTAGGGTTTAGGGCTAGTTTAAGGGTTCCTTTAAGGGCTCCGTTAAGGGTTCAGGGCTCCTTTGAGGGTTCCTTTAAGGGCTCCTTTAAAGGAAGCCTTGAAGAGGGGTTTAGTGGTTTCAGAGGCTTCCGTTAAGGGGATGCTTCAAGGGTTTGGGGGATTAGGGTTTAGAGGTTTAGGGTTTCGGGGATTCGGGGTTTGGGGGATTAGGGTTTGGAGGTTTAGGGTTTAGGGGATTAGGGGTTTAGGGGATTAGGGTTTAGGGGTTTAGGGTTTAGGGGGTTAGGGGATTACGGGATTACGGGATTAGGGGGATTAGGGGGATTAGGAGATTAGGGTTTAGGGGATTAGGGTTTAGGGGCTTTGGGTTTAGGGGTTTAGGGTTTAGGGTTTAGGGTTTAGGGAGGGGTTTAGGGGATAATGTAGGAACCTGATTAAGAAACCCTGGGTCTTTTCTTGGGGCTCTTCATATGAATCCTTTTTTGGGGGGGGCTATAGGGCCAGGGTTTTTTAAATCAGGTTCCTACATTCAAGGTTTAGGGGTTTAGGGTTTAGGGTCTAGGATTTAGGGGTGATCCTTCAATTCAAGGGCTACTCTAGGGATTCCTTCAAGGGATCCTTGAAGGGTTACTCCAGGGATTCCTTGATACGGGATCCTTCTAGGGTTACTCTAGGGAGCCCTTGAAGGGGTCCTTTAAGGGTTACCTTCGGGATTCCTTTAAGGGTTACTCTAGGGGTCTGTCTTAATTTTGCATTTGTCGCCTGAGTTCTTCTGAGTTTGACCGCGGGTTTCAGGCGGCTTCATACCCACTGGCGGTCATGGGGTTCAGGGTTTGGGGTTGAGGGTGTCATGGGGTTTTGTAGGCCGGCGTTTCGCAGTGTCGGCGAACGAACGCACACGCTCTTAACTGTTGAGGGCCAGCATCTGGTGCATCAGGGTTTCTGCTTCAGGTTTGGATGTTCTGCAGTGGGAGCTTCGAATGTTTAACCGCCGGAATGCAAAGTGAGCATCATATATAGAGGCTTAAACACTTACCAATACTCTTGTGGAGGCTCCTTCTTATGATTACAACATAACATACCCTGAAACCCTGTTCTAATTGTTACAGGGGCTTTCGTGGGGATGCGACGGAGAAGAGTTCGAGCTCTTGAGTCCCTGTCTTTCAGTTCTTCATGCAGCGTGCCCTACGCCCCACAACCCTACCCCGAACAGTTTCTTGAAGCCCTCACAAGCCCTTTGCAAGAGGTTTAGGATTTAGGGTTTCGGGCTTAGTATTAGGGTTTAGTATGTAAGCTTCTTCTGAAACCTTACGGCAGCCGCGATTAACCTGAAGCCAGGGCGCAACCTTGCACTATGGCATGAAAACGCCACCACGTCGCGAGTCCAAGGCCGCGCCAACTTCTTTTTCTTGAGGGGTTTACAGGTTTTCAGTGGGTTTCCTCCAAGCTTTGGTATAGGTTTTTGATGGGCTTCTAGTATGGTTTTATGTTTTATGGTTCTTTCTATGGTTTTATTCGCGCTCTAGGATTTGATGGGGATGATCCAGAGTTGCTTATATAGGGTTGCAATGCGGTTTGAATGTGGTGCTATTATTATAGGGGTTTCGGGCTTCAGGGTTTTAGAAGTCTTGAGGGTTTTAGGGCGTGCGGGTGTTTGAGTTCTAGCTTTGGGGTGTAGATTTCTGGGGTTGAGGGTAGCGGAGGCTGAGGAGCCGAGGGTTGGTATTGTTTTAGAAGAGGTACAATCGTTTAGGTTGCAGAAATTAAATTAGCGTTTTATTCAGGGTTTTTAGGGGGTTTGGGGGCTCAGAGGTCAGAGCTGAAGGGAACTAAGCCGTCAACCCAATTAGCGGGTCAGGGGTCGCAGTGTGAAGATCCCCCAAGGTTTAGGGCTTAGGGTTTAGGGCTTCTTCTTGCCTTAACCCTACTTGGAGGATCCTGCAACTTAGTAACTGGGGTTATAAATAAGGTAACGATACTTATAAGTAATTATATCCCCAATTATAAGGTAGCTACAACCTTCTTCACTAAGTCCCATGATCCTCCAAGTAAACTCTGAACCCTAAACCCCAAATCCCCTTCAAGCCTTTGCGTGATTCGGGGCATGAGGACTTCGCTTCGCAAGGAGGCTTTCAGTCGGGTTTCCGGTGACCCGAAGTAAGGTTATATAGGGGCCTGAATAATTAGAATAGGGTTTTGGGACCATTACAGTGTAAAGATCATAACGAACCCCATGTAATCTACCTACTTTATCCCTTCTTCGTGAGAGTATGGGACTTCGCCTCAGTTTCTGAAGCTTCATTCCGAAAGCCCCGAAGCTTAAATAGCATGAAGTCACAGATGGCTGCGGTTTCTGGCATTTCTGGCGCACAATCCTAAACCCTAAATGACCCTACATCCTTAAACCCTAGAGTTCATGCACCCACAACCCTGCACACATCTAGAAACCTTACTAAATGTCGCAGGACTACTCTTATAAGGTTCCTGACCAAGACACAGCATAATTTGTCCGAGCACCTTGCTGAAATTATGAAGGTCCCTACGTTACACCCTTAACCCTAAACCCTACACCCCAAACCCCAGACCCCAAACCCCAAACCCTAAACCCTAAACCCTAAACCCCTAAACCCTAAACCCCTAAACCCTAAACCCTAAACCCTAAACTCCCCTACGTTACCCAACCCTCAGGTTCCAAACGCTCAGGTCCCAAACCTCTATCGCCCCACGAGGCGTGGATCATGTCACAGACAGAACCTCCTCCGATCCGTCGTTCTTCGGACAGGCAAGGGTTGAGGGGTTTAGGGTTTAGGGTTTAGGGTTTAGGGTTTAGGGTTGAGGGGTTTAGGGTTTTACGGGTTTGGGGTGTAGGGTTTAGCGGCTTAGAGGTTCAGGGGTTTAGGGTTTAGGCCCTAAGCCCTGAACTTTAGGGTTTAGGGCCAGTTTAGGGCTTAGGCCCTAAGCTTTAGGGTTTAGGGCTGTAGGGGTTTAGTTTTCAACACCTAGCTCGAGCTGGGTTTAGGTTTCAGGGTTTGTGGTTTAAGTCGGCTAAATACTTACCAACACAATTTTTTTGGTGCGTCCTTACTACAAATATAGTAGAGTATACCCCCAAGAACCCTATTCTAATAATTAAGGTCCCCATATTAAGTCGAGTCTTGGGGTTTGGAGATGGTTTAGGGTTCCGGGTTGAGGGTTTAGGATTTTGGAGTTAGGGTTCAGGGTTTAGGGTTTAGGATTTAGGGTTTAGGGTTTGTGAAGAAAGGATGTGTTTATCCCCTTGCAGTCCATACGGCTTCTGCTTTCATGCACCAAAACCCTACATTGCAAGTATGAAGGCTCCCACCCAAATAAGATCCGAATAAAAACCTAAACCCTAAACCCGACTTTCATAAGACCTCTTGAGCCAAAGCCCTTATAAGATTGGCATAAAGCCACTGCAATCGTTTGTAAAGATTTCAAAAGCCCTCCGAAGCCAAACCTCTGAGAGTGCGCTCTCCGCCCCTTCCTGTACTTGAGACCAAGCTCCGGCCATCGAGGTTGGCTTTCGGGTTTAGGGGTTTTAGGGTTTAGGGGTTTAGGCGTTTAGGCTTCAGGGGTTTAGGCGTTTAGGGTTTAGGGTTTAGGGGTTTAGAGTTTCGGGTTTAGTCGTTAGGGCTTAGAGTTTAAGCGTGCGGTATACGGTTTAAGGTGTCGGGGTTTATTGTTTATACCGCTTCAGGTTTTCGGCTCAAGGGTTTTAGGACGTGGCAGTGTGGCAGCTTGACGAGTCATGCAGCTGGTAGCCCAAAGACTCCAGTACCCCTTAATTAAGGAATATACCTTAAATTATAGTAGGATCCTTAATAATATTTGGGGTATATTCCTTAATTAAGGGGTATTGGAGTCTCTGGGAGGCTTCCCTTGATTTAGGGTTTAGGGTTTAGGGTATTAGATGCCAGCACAAGGTACTCAAGCCCTTTGGTGTGAGTCTGACATAGCTGATCGGATCTAGCAGCCAAGACCTAGACTCTAAACCGAATAGCCCTAAACTAAGCCCTAAACCCTGAATATAGGAGCAGAAATACTTATTAATGCCATTGTGGGGTTCCTTTATTATAATTATAGTATAAAGGGCCCCAAAACCCTATTCTAATTATTAAGGCCCCTATATTACAGAGCTGAGCTCCCCTAAACCCTAAACCCTAAACCCTAAACACTAATCCCCTAAACCCTAAACCC